TGACTAGCCATAAATGTGAGTTACAACCGTGACAGACTGGATCCGTGACTGAATTTCACCAAATGTTCTTAAGTATGGATAAATAAACGCTTGGAAGGTGCATTAAAAGCCTTAAAGGCCATAATCTTATTTTATAATCACTCCAATTTGGAGGGTCAGTACACGTTTATTGCCTCTAGTTGGTTGGCCAATATCAATACGCGTTCATTGTGCAAGTAACTCAATTAGGTTTGGCACTTTATTGCAAGCTGAATGCAGAGCTCTGCTGCCTCCAAGGTTTGCTGATGGATCTCGGTGTCTGTCGTCATAGCTGCCCTTCTGACTCCACTTGTGTCCAGTGGTACAGAGAGAGGGGCTCGATCCCTCCATACGCCACCAGACTCTGCCAGACTCCGCCAGATCTCGTTCGGAGGTACAGGTCTCAAAGACACACACACACACACACACACACCAACAATGCACACATGGTGGAGATGAAGCCACAGCGGCCGAATCAGTCAACTGGTGTCTTACATTGACCCTTTGGCTCTTGCATGGTTGGCCAATCGCGTCACCCAACTGGAAAGTCTTCATCTCACTGTCAGTCTGGCACAAGCGTTCAGCCCAGCAACACATACGCAGGCGGGCGAGGATTTGTCCAGCAGACATGTCGACTTTTTCTGGCTTCGCGTGAATACATACAGAATCTCGTGTTGTCTGTCCTCTTCACTTTCTCCGCTTGTTCAGCCTTTCTCGTCTCTCCCACTCTGTCGCAACAGAATACACACAAGTATCGCCAACATCGTCGGCCTTGTGGTAGGGGTAGATTCACAACTTATCTCGGCCTGATGATTGTGCTTCATCGTCCGGACTGAGGTTGCCGAATTCGCCTGTACCCTCACGAATTCACCTACCCATCAGCGAGCCTGGCCGTGTGACCTAACTGATAAGTAGACTGCGGGAAGACAGCGTTTGATAAGACGCCGGGTTCACATAGGAACGTCAGTCATGTGTGATTGGATGAATTTCACATAGCGCCAATACACTCCGTGCCCTGGCCTGTCTCGCTTTCCCACTCCCACCCAGGCCCTTTAAACCTTTGCCTTCCCTTTTCGACCGTCTCCGGGTCTAGCCTTGACGGAATTCACAGGCTCGTTTGTTTGAGTGTCGCATACTTATGGTGTGTGTTTGTGTGTATGTACATACAGGTATTCTCGTCATGTTGCAAACACTCCCCTGCTCAGAGGGTCTGAGAGGCAAGCGGCCAACTTAGTCAACACCCCTACCCACTTCCTCCTACCGGTTCGCAGGGATGCCTACAGCCTCTTACTTTGCTCCACATGTCTATTTTGTGTCTTCACAATTGAGTGATCAGATAATACTTTTCCTCAAGCCTCATATCTAATTCCGAGTGGACTTCTCCTCCTCTTCAGGACTTGTTCTACTGACAAATTTCACAATCTTGTGTCTACCCCTGGCTCCCGGCCAAACAGTGCTCCCACTTCGTCCCTAATGGTCTTCCGTCTGCCCTGGGTAGCCCCGATTCATGTGTGACGTCGGCACCTACTCCTGTTCCGGCATGGAGACGGAGGACCGAATTGTCCTCCAGGCCAAAATGCAATCTGCCCACGCCCAGATGATGCACAACTTTCCCGCCTTTCCGCCGGTCGCCGCGACTACCGTCCTCCTACAGACCGGCTCGCATCATCCCTCCGGCCACCCCTACCACGCCGGTCACCACCACGCCGTCAGTCATAATCACAACCACACCCACACCCACAGTAACAACAACAACAGCCACAGCCATCAGCAGCTGCAGCAGCATGCTTTGCAACAGCAGTTCCACAACCACCTCTCGCATGGTCTCTCCCCACCGGCCAATGCTCCTTCGGTCCACGACGATCCTCAACCAGTGCTGGCCTCGCAACCGCTCACGCAGCCCCATCCTGGTCCATTCCATTCGGTACACTTCACTTCGCATGACCTCCACATGTTCCAGTCGCATCACGATCTGACCGGCTTGTCCGGTCAGCCTGGCGAACTCTCGTTGCCCACCCATCTCTCGACTGTCGGCTACCAAAGCCTCGATTCTGGCACACATCTACCGCCCACCGCCGCCTCTTCTCCTCACGCCACACACGCCAATTCCAGCCTTCAATTGGCCGAATTCGACGAAGGTCCCAGCACCGACACACCTCCGGGCCTCTCCAATTCCAACGTCAACAGTACCACCACGCCGGCCACCAGCACGACTGCCGGACCGGCCGCTAGTCCGTCCGGAGGACACAGTCTCCTCTTGATGCACTGCGCCAGCACCAGCCCCGGAGGGCATAACAGCAGTTCGAGTCCCGCCGAGTTTCCGGGTCAGGCGACGCCGCACTCGAGCTCAGCCGCGACTGGCGAGACTGGCCTGTCCGGCTGCACCGGCGACACCAGTTCTGGTACATCTGCCGGTGCTGCAGTTGGCGCCGGTACCGTTACCACTACCGCTGCCGGTACCGGTACCGGTAGCAAGCACGGCCCGAGCACGTACTCCATCAATCTTGCCGTGGATCGAGGCTGGTTGGACAACTCTTGTGGATCCTTGCTTCTACCATCGCACCTTCAAAGCCCTGCCCACATACGCACAACCAGTCACCAGCACCACCAACGACTGCCCACTCACCATAGCCAGCACCAGATCTCGCAACAGCCTGACAACACTTCTCACTACAACGATCCACAGGAGGTAGGCCAACTGTCAGGCTGCGAAAGTAGCTCTGCCTCCTTCGTGCTGGCAGACAGTCCCAACCTGATGTCAGATGCTCTAGCCTCTCTGGTTGTCATGGGCAACCAAGTGGCCGTCTACAACTCGGATTATTCGGAGATGGCGCGCAAACAGCCAGTCGAGTCGGTCAAATCGGCCGTCTCCATGGCACAGTCGGAGCAGGAGGAGTCTGCTGCCTCTCGCGACTCTCCGATCACCCAACTCCTGCATCCCGTTGAACTCTGCTACCCTGTCTTAGCGCAACATTGCGGCGAGACCTTGCCGGCACGTCGACCGGTACGGTCTGAAAACCCAGACCAGTCATTGTCTCGTGGCACCATGTCTCCCGGAGGCGGAGCAGCCAGCCAACCCAGTGCCGAGAACTGCTACAGACTAATGTCGGCCGCCATTGCCGCGGTAACCGGCGCCGGTGTCCCGGAGACAACATACAGATCCATGGGACGTGGAGATGAGATCTCATCAGCCGACTGGGCTCTGATTCAAGAAGAGATGAGATCCGCAAGATCTGGATTTGGCTACATTGTTGAGGCCGGCCTACAACCGATGGTCAGAGAGCATTCGCCAGCCAGCCTTCATTCTCACAACCATCAGCATATTAATAATCATCAACAACAACATCATCATCATCATCATCATCATCACGCCTCTCAACAGCACCAGCAGCAGCAGCAACAACAGCAACAACAGCAGCATCATCAACATCACACACTCCAGATCAATCAGCACACCTGCCTCGAGTCTGGCCCGACTATGCTGCAGACACAACTGCATCATCGCCATCATCAACAGACACCCTCCAACGAGATTGACTGTGCCCTGGGGAGCCATTCGGTGCTGCCCAGGATCACCTGTCCGACGCCAATCTGCAAAGTGGAGTCGAATTTAATGAGCCAAGACTCCTCCGCAGAGGCTCCCCTGTTAGGACGATTCGACCTTTCTACAGCAGCAATGGCTGCAGCAGCCGTTGCCGCAGCAGCCGCGGTCGCCGCTGCCTCCACCCCAGAGGAGTCTTTGGGTACAGCCTCGTCGCCAGCCAGCACCCTAGTTCCCGTGGTACCCAATGCCACTTCTACCTCCTACTCTTCTTCCTCCTCCACATCCTCCTCATCCTCTTCATCATCCTCATCCACCTCCGGCTCCTCATCCACCTCTTCATTGTCCACTATCTTTCCGCCCTCTTCACTCACTGTTTCATTGACTTCGCCGAACCCTGCTTCGGCCTTTTACGCCAGTCTTGAGGCTTCAGGGCAAGAGCAGACTTGTCTCGGACTTGTGTCCCGTGGCCAACTGGCCAATAGGCGACTAAGTCAGCCGGCAAGTCCAGATTTGGGGTTTGTAGAGAGAAGAGCTGTGATGCCAGAAGACAGGCCACAGAGAGATACAGCAATGGGTGACGAGGAGGAAGAGTTGCGTGTGGTTCGAGGAAAGCTAGGCGACTTCCAGACCGAAGAAGAGGACGAAGAAGAGGAGGACGAGGAGGAGGAGGAAGAGGAGGACCGTGATATGCTCTCGAGACCAACGGAAAGCTGTATTCAGTCCGAGACCAGGCACGAGATTAAACTGGAAGCTTTGAGCCACGAGGAATCGGCTGACCTAAAACCGGAACATCTAGTTGCTGGGACACATTGTAGTGACATGATTAGTAGGCTGTCTGGCCAAGACGGCGAGATACAGCTTACAAGCTGCCGCCAGACAGAAGGTTGGAGAGGAGACGGAGAAGGCGACGAGGGAGAGGAGCTGGAAGAGGTTGACGCTGAGGAAGGGGAACAAGCCGACGAAGAAGAGGAAGATTTGGGTCTGCCTGAACGAAATCAATCTGATGCTGAGACTGGTAAGATAATGGAGGAGAGCGAGGAAGCAACACGGCAGAAGAAGAACAACGTCGGTGAGTCGTCTTACAAGTATTTGTCTATTGTTGGGACTTTCATTTCGTATGAAATTGTATGAAGAAGAGATTCGAAGTTTGATCTCACCAAAAGAGGACGTTAAATCTCATTGTACTGCGACGTTGAGATTGATGCAGTCCTTGAGAACT